TATATATATATATATATATATATATATATATAACAAGAGACAAACGTTTTAGAGAAATGATCGATGAAGGATATTATATCCGTCTACAAAAACCGCTTCTAAGCTCGCGTTACTTTTACATTGCCCGTTACAATTGTGCAATACGCGAGAATGAATTACACATTCCCTCGAAGGGAATAAAAAAGATTAGCGAGCTCTTAACGCACCTATGCCTCCATCTCTCTCTCTCTCTCTCTTCCCTTCTCTTCCCTCTATAACGCTATCGCAAGATCGACCTACATCCTACTCTACAACACGTCTGACTCTTCGCTCTCAACACGCCTCACGTGATATGTTAAAATATCCGTGAAACGAGCGTTTAATTATCCACGTTCCCGGTTTTCGAAGCTTTAAGGGGCTTCGGGAAAGAGAGAGAAAAAAAGCAAGTAGAACCAGAACCTTACTTCGTAGATATACGGAAGCCGTGCAAACGATCTCCGTGTGACGTGACGGGGACGGTGGAGTCACGATCGAAGAACGCTCGCGGCGATCGGACGAAAATGAAAAAGAAAAAAAAATCGAATCGAAACGAAAGGATCGAATTTCGAGAAACAGAGAGAGAGAGAGAGGAGAAAGAGAAAAAAACTCGAACGATTGGCTGTCAAAGAGTTAAAAGAGGGAGAAAGGGCACTCACCTTGACGAAATGCAGGTTCTCCTTGTCAAGGAGGAACTCCATGGATTTGTGTGGCCGTTGGTTGATGGTCGAGGCGGCGTCTTTGTCGCGGGGGCTCCTGTGCGAAGCGGCGACGGGCGACTGGGGTACGTGGAGGGCGTGCTCGGGCCTGGGCCGCGGGGCGGTCGAGGTGTGATTCAGATTGAGCAGGCTCCTCGTCTTTTTGCCGGTGGTGGCGGCGTTCGGCGGGGTCGTGGTCGAAGGCACGACGGCCTCGTCGAGGTCGGTCTCGAGCAGGCCGACCGGGCGCTCCTGGGCGGCCTGCATCGTGCGGGCCTTCGCCATCTCGATGGCCGCCGGATTTCCAAGGTCCGTGGCCGCGCGTCGGCGCGACGAACACGCCGCCGTCGCCGCCGACGCGCCCGTCGACGCTCTCGAGCCCAGCGCCCCGAAGCGGGGCGGCTGAGGCGGCAGGGGCGGCTTGCTGGACACTGGCGCCCTCCCGTTTGCGCTGCGGTAAACAACGAATAATCGGTTAAAACGTATCGTCTTCCAATCCTTCCTTTTCTTCGTCTATCCGTCCTCCTTCAGCTTTTCTCTTCCCATTCAACGGAGTTTTGGGTTTTTTTGGGGGGGGGATGTATCTTTCGATAATTCGAATCGAAAATGGCGTTTTGGAAGAAGGTGATGATTGGATAAAGAGTGTCGAAGTTGAGGGGAGAGTTGATAGAGGGTGCTCGATGTATGGCAGCGTTTTGATCGAAATGATGATAAAGAGTCGATAGGGAGAGATAGATTTGGATTTGGAAAAATGAAGAGAGATTGGAAAGTTGTGTCAATAATGATTATTCACGGACGAGATGACGAGTTTTAATGTATAATTTTCGTTTGGTCGAGTTAGATATCTTTGATATGGAAGTTGATGTTAATATTGCAAAGTAACATAAAGTTATATTTTTTTCTAACTTGCTTGATAAGATTGCTATCTAGTCTGATATGTAACGTATCGTTATGTAATTGTTGTAAAACGGTTGTAATATTCCGAGCAAAACTTTTTTTGTAAAATTGATAAGAGGAATTATCGAACTTAACGACGATGCGAAAGTAAGTCGCTTCGAAAATTTAAAAAATTCTCAAATTCATTCTTCATTAAATATCATTATCTTAATTCGTTTCGCATTATATAAATTATAGAAATTGTTTCCCAAACGTTTTCCAGCAATTGCTTATAGTTATTTGCCAAAAGATAACGTAGAATTTCTTCAATTCGCAGTGTAATGGAATTATTTAGAGCTCGTATATAACTTGAAATTATGGCTAGCATATTAATAAATGCAATTTCTGACGCGTGAAATCACTGAAAAAAAGAGAAACTTCTCCTCCAGAAAAGAATGTGAAAACGGTTAATCTCAAACGCGATTTTATAGTTATTTATCTTGGCAATTTAAATTTATCGATTTTTAACCTATATAATTTATCTTATCGAAATATCCAATCAATATATAATTATATCCGTATATATTCGAGTTGAAAAATATTTAAACTATAATTTAAATAAAATAAGTGTGAAGAAAAACTTTGAATAATTTAAATATAACAAAAGTGATAATTTTAACTTTTAATACATTAACACGTTCACTTTGATTCAAATTTCCATTCTCTACGTAATAACTTAACTTTGAAATAAACTTAAGACTAATACGACTTCTGCTTTAAAAAAAAAAATAAAAAAAAAAAAGATAATTCAAACCTATACACAACATTCCGTTTAAATTTATCGATCGATTCGAGGAGTAACTTTTAACTACTCAATATATCAACAAATAACTTAATTTCAAAACTACAAATCTAAGATCGATACTTTCCACACTACAAAAATAAAGGAAAAGAGAATTCAAACCTACAGAAATTCAAGATCCAACATTTTTCGATATAAATTCACTTCGATCGATTCAAGGAGCACTTTTAATCACTCGACACAGATCCTCGAGCGAGCGTGGCTAAATCGTCGATTTTCAAAGTATTAAAAGACTTTGATGGCGAACGCCAGAGTCACGGTAGACCGATCTCGCGGCAACTTCCCAAAGAGAAACGGGCAAAACTAGCGGCGAACCGAGTCGAAACGCCTGCAGCATCGTCTACCGATGCTTTGGAAAACGAAACACGAGGATAATTGGCCCGAAAGCGCGTTTCGTCGATCCGATATTACCACATGTATACGTGTTTACGTACACAATACTTTCCCGCCACTTCTAGCACATTCTCTGCCTTGAAGTTCACCGAGTTATGCGCACACGCGTTCCTTCGTTTCTCTCGAGAGCGCGCTGCGAATCCGTAGCAGCTTTCACGCGATTCGATCATCAATCACACGGCTCCCGTTACAACGCGAAGAAAACGCGGAAGCTAGCTACGATTCTACCCAACCACTCGTCTCGACTGAACAATCATGGACCACTCTTGGAACTGTGTTTAAGAATGTTTTTCCCATTATGTATATTATTTTCTTACCATTATGAATCGAGTACCGTTTTATTGATTTTTCCGTGTAACCATTTAATGGGAATTTACGAGAAATTGTTGTGTGGTTGTTTCGACGTGTAAAAAGTTTGCATGGAGATTTTTGCGACAGAGTGTCAATATATTCGTTATCGGCATTTAGAAACAGTGATTATGTCAATTTTGTAGTATAAAGAATATGGGAATGAGCAAATCATTCTTTTTGATATACGTAATTATCTTCGTTTCGAGTAGAACGAAATTTAAAAATTAATAATCAATGCTCGTTGAAGAATATTATATTATTATACTCTTTGGTTGGTCTAGACTTATTCATTAAATTATAAGTGGACTGCGTACACGCAAAATATTTAAAATATAGCAGGCATTATGATGTACGATGAACAGTTATCTTTTTTTTAATCATGTTCATAAAAGTTTAATTTTACAAAAAAATCCGCAGTCCAGTTATAATTGAAATTTACCTTAGATAAACTAGGAGATAGAGTTGTCTTATTCTTCCTGCGTTTCGCTTCGTTTAATGCAATTTTCAATTATTTATAACTTAATAAATACGTCTCGCTCGACATTTTTATACATTAATCTTTGTGTTTGTTGTATGATAGCCTCTGTAAAAATATTCTTCAAAAATATTATACCAGTATATTAACACGTTTTGAAACGTTACAAATACTTTACTTATTTATTCAATAATTGTAAGTTTTAATCATTCCATATCCAAGTTCGTTATTTACGGAAATTTCGTTCGATTAATTGAAAAAAATAATTTTATACGAGCTGTTGCTTGGATATGCGATCTTGTGCGCTTCTGCCTCTATACTGATTAATAATATTGACTCAAGGTACGAGGAACACACGTATGTAAACATTACGCGCAATAGAAGAGAGTACGTAAACGTCGACCGTAACTCGATATACTCGTCGCGTAAAAGTTTAATTTTCACTCGTCATATAATCAATTATATTAATTCCCTTTGATTAATTATAATTTATTATCACGATGAGGATACGAAAGTGAAATCAGAGTTCAGTTTATCGAGCTATTACGTTTATCGGCATCTATTTCCTAATCGTTATTGGTTTGAACGTGAATTTATAAGAGCGCTTATTCATCGAACCCTATTTTATCGTATCATATAATCGTGGTGAGAAACGATATGGAGAAAGATAAATCGCAGACTGAACTCTCTTTGATTCTACGAGTCGGAGAGACTTATCAGATCGAACATTTTTTTCACCTACGATCCTTTTAAC